CGGCGCCCTGAGCGCAGGGAGAAAGGAGTCAGGGTCATCTCCCACAGGCAAGGATGCAGGAGAGCACCCTTATCCCCTGCCCAGCACCCAGTTCTCAGCTCTGTGGGGTCCCCCTGATAGCCCGTAACCCCCTTCACCCAAGAACTCAGAGCACTTTACAGCCCAGGTGTCAAGGGACCTGGCTGGGCATGGCCGCTTACTGCTCCACCATGTCTCACGTCCCCAGGCGGTGAAGTGACGTGTTTGCACAAGGGCCAAAGGGAACCAAAACCCCCGTGAGCCTGGGGACAGAAGGTGCAAGGGACAGCAGATGCCCCAGCACGGTCCCTGCTCCATTCCTCCTTCCAGGTTGCAAATGAAAGCAGAGATGCCATGAGTGTTATCAGAGATGAGAAACAAGGTTCCTCAGGGATCCTAGCCAGGGTCACCAGTGTTTTACGGAGTGCTTGCTCCCCTGTGAGCACCACCTCTACACCCCACATACCCCAAAAGCTTGTGGCCCCTTCACCTCCGCTCCCCGGCCCAGCAAAGCTGCGCTAACGGAGCGAAGCCATCGCAGAATCACCTTAATGAGCTCCACCATCTTCTTGGCCTGCGCAATGGTGACTCCCAGCTCCTCCAGCTCGTTCTCCACATCGCTGAGGAATTTGGCTTGTTGGGCCTGCAGACATGAGGGACAAACACTGAGCTCTGCCCGCCCCGGTCCCCGCAGTCGGGAGATTCAAGGTATAAAGCGTTTCCCTAAATTCAGCCCACAGCCCCCTCTCTGACCATGACCTTGCTATCAGGCTTTAGGTGAAGGGTGCAAGGGGAATCATGAGTTATTTTCCTGCCCTGCAACATCCAACCTTCTCACTTGGCTGGAAAACTAAAGGAGCAAACAGGCTGCAAGGGTCATGCCCAGCTCCACACTCCCCAGCCCAGTCCCAGCGGAAACCAAACAAAATAGGAATTTGAAAGCAAAACCATCGGGCAGCGATCGCAGCAAGCACAGCTAAGCCGCCTGCTGTTAGTGTGTATCCCAAAGCTGGGAAAAATCCACCTGGGACTGGTGCACGAGCTGAAAAGCAGATCCAGAGCACTCGGAAAAGCAGCACTGAGTCCCCTGGAGGTTTCTCGTTAACAGCAAAGCAAACCCCCTCGGCAGCACGGGGTGCTGCGTGGCCGCAAAGGAAGCACCGTCCGAACACGGCATTTCCTGACACGCTATTGTTAGCGCCAGCCATTGCACATCACGAGGACGAGTCCCTCGGGAGCCAGGAGGGCACTGGGCTCCCCAGTCGGGGCAGCTCCCACTCTCCTGATGCTCAGCCCCCAGCCCCCTGCACTGCTCATTCCCTGGCAAGGGGGGACAGGCACTTTCCCCGTCCATCCTTCCCACCCTGCAGCGCAAGGGCGGTGGCAGAGAGCGGCCGCAGAGGCCGTGCGGGCGACGTTAAGCAGCGCCTGCCGAGGCCCGACAGCTCCTCGGGGCTGGGATCACACGCGCTTTCTATTTTAAGGCACCTGATGACTAATAACATCAGAAAAAGGGTTTTCCTGCAGTCCCAAG